TGCAACACACAGGCCTCCTCTCCCACCAAACTATCACCCACGCCACTGCCTCATCCCCACCCATCCATACCTCCCATCCCCGGACGCCACGTATCAACTTGTGAACGACCTCGTAACATGTTTAGAGACAATAAATATCTATAAGCGGCATGAGGGGCGTAAAGTGTGGTCTCCACGGGGGAATATTGCCGCTCCCATAATAGTCGTGGATGGAACCTTCTTTATCCTGTTATAAGCCCCGTGGGACGATAGCTTCACAGGCGAACTCCACGTCCCCCTTATTACTCTCAGAGACACGCACACACAGCATGGTCAAGAGAAGGGTTTACTAGCGGCAAACATCTTATCTCAAGAGCATAATAAATATAGCAGTGATGGAATCATTTGCATACCTGATGAATTTCAAAATGAAAATGAGTACATGACTGAAAAGATACGTGTATACTGAACGGTAACTCTGTTCAGTCTTGTTCTAAGCAGTCGAGATCAATACAACTCCTTGCGCTGAATGACATACAGGGTTAATGTCTTTCACTATAAAAAAGTAACAAACGTTGTCAAAGTGACATGGGTTACCACCGATACCTTCTGTCTGGTGTCAGATAATTTCCCTTTATTTGTTGCTGGCTTGCAAACTGCATAGCTCCTGACGACGAACAAGAATGCGAAAGATCGAGCTAAAAATTTCCATCCCCATGTGGCTTGTTCTGCATTGTTAAGATAGTCTGTTTAGGATTGTCTTGCATATATGAACTGTATGTACTTTTTAGATATATCTTTTAAAAAGATGTTTAAATATACCTTACTAAAATATGATATCTATCTTTTTAAATTATATAAACAGACATACCTTCTTAAATGATATAAATATATGTACTTTCCTAAAGATATATAATATACCATAACACGTTTTCTTGTAGTCTTCGTTTAGACCAGTGGTTCCCAAACTTTAAGTTCCCCTCCCCCCGCCCTTGGCTCTCAGAACACAACCCTAACGCCCTCCCTCACACACATATGAACATACACCTCTATCTTGGTAGTAGGTTCACTGCACATCCCCATTACTTAGTCATCAAAACGCATGTACGTTAGTTAGGTTTAAACTAATTCACTACTGACTTCAGCTTAAACACAGGTTAATATGTTAATTTTCCACTAATGGGTTGTGCAGTGACGAAAATAGGAGAAAATACAGGAATTTGACGTAAGCTTAGGTTGGGTTATATTGTTAGGATTTGTTACCCCCTTCCCCCCAAAAATAGTTTTAATTCTATTTACCCAAAATATAAGCGTCTGTTGCAGAAATCATTTACTAATAAATAATTTACATAATAAAAACTCCTCAGTACTGACCGGTTTCAAGTCTATCGACTCGTGAATCAATACTGGTGCATTTTACTGTACACCAAATATACATGACTCGGTACACGGTGTATGTTCTGTAGATCACCATTCCTATCACTTATAATACTATCACACAACACCAGTAATGTTCTCATGTAGTAAGTCACACGCTACCACCTTGACCTTCACTCTCACACTAAACCTCCAGCCTGATGTGGCAGCACCTCCACCCCCAGTTTGTTTACCTCGCTGAGACTACCTTGTTCTCCTCCCAACAACTTGTTAAAGACACCACAAACTCATCTCTGTGGAAAACATGCAGCTATTAAAAGATTCGTTAGTGACTTCTGACATAAACATTTCTTTTGAGGATGTGTGAGTGTTATATTCAATGGCACACACCAAACCCATAAGGGCCATTTAGCGTCTTAGGAATGGAGACAAGCAGGTTGATCGGATAAAGGGTATAAGGAAGTGGGGTGGGAGTGAGGGTTGCTGTAACTCCTTGACTCAAGAGCACTTCACCAGCATCAACGCACATTTCCCCCTCCTTAAGAGTAATGTTCATCCTGTGTACGTCACTTGCTCTCAATATAAACATGTAAGAACGGCCCAATTTGCAATAATTTTCACCGCGCACAGCAACTCAGTGTATAGAATGTTTAATATTACCTACGTCAGTGTTATAACAAGTATAATTTTAATACTCCTTGAGTTTGACATTGTTACCATGTCTTGTGGACTTTTTATTACAATATAAAAATAATTCTTTGTAGATTCACAATATTAAATATCTTAATATTAATATTAAGAAATTTTAATGTTTTATGATGCATGAACAAGCATTCGCTCACACAAACACACTCTTCTGTACATCAAATTTATTAAGATACTACAATAGTCACATAAATTATTAAAACCAAGATGGAATATCTGATGGCATTTGAATTTTAAAATGGATTTCGAAAGAGTTCTTCGTGAAAGATTAATTCTCGAACTGCAAAACAACTGAGCAAAAATAGAAAGGAATTTGCAAAGACTGATGACGATATTTGTGGCGGAGCACCACAAGGATCGGCACTTTCCCCGATAATATTTCCCATTATATGAGTTTCTAGTTGTAATTAAACACTATATGAACATAGTTACTCGGTACAATAACTATCTTGAGGTCCTGCTCTTTGAGCGAGGTTTACAACATTTTCTCCTCTAGATGTATTCCAGTTTTGGTCTTCTTTACCCTTTCCCAATCTTCTTTGCACCTGTCAGGGTTAAAATCCAGTAGCTACTTGCAGACCTGACCTCCAGCCTGTCCAGGTTCACTGTAGCCTTTCCTGGTCCTCACATGTTTTCATTCTCAATTGTTTCACATCTGTGAATGGGTATACCTGTGACTCTATCCCCACCGTCATGTCGTTCACGTATAAAATTTAGTAATAATACCTGTGTGTGTGTGTGTGTGTATGTGTGTACTCACCTATTCGTGGTTGCAGGGGTCGAGTCATAGCTCCTGGCCCCGCCTCTTCACTGATTGCTACTAGGTCCTCTCTCTCCCTGCTCCATGAGCTTTATCAAACCTGGTCTTAAAACTATGTATGGTTCCTGCCTCCACTACGTCACTTTCTAGGCTATTCCACGGCCTGACTACTCTATGACTGAAGAAATACTTCCTAACATCCCTTTGATTCATCTGAGTCTTCAACTTCAAATTGTGACCTCTTGTTTCTGTGTCCCAGCTCTGGAACATCCCGTCTTTGTCCACCTTGTCTATTCCGCGCAGTATTTTATATATCGTTATCATGTCTCCCCTGACCCTCCTGTCCTCCAGTGTCGTCAGGCCGATTTCCCTTTCTTCGTAGGACATTCCCCTTAGCTCTGGGACTAGTCTTGTTGCAAACCTTTGCACTTTCTCTAATTTCTTGACGTGCTTGACCAGGTGTGGGTTCCAAACTGGTGCTGCATACTCCAGTATGGGTCTGGGTGTGTGTGTGTGTATGTGTGTGTGTGTGTGTGTGTGTGTGTGTGTGTGTGTGTGTGTGTGTGTGTGTGTGTGTGTGTGTGTGTGTGTGTGTGTGTGTGTACGTGTGTACGTCGGGAAACAAGACTCAGCTTGGTGCTGAAGTGGTGTGAGTAAACTAACGAGATTTTCCAGCGTGACTCTTGTGGCTGATGAGAACAAATGATCACATCAGGAAACTTGGTTACGACATCATAAATTTCATTCTTCCTCTCTCCCTTTTTGGTTTCTTCTCCCTCACTCTCGTCAATTCTTTTTCTTTGTTTTTGCCTCGTTTATGTTTATTCTCCTAAATTATGCTTTCAAATACAGACAGCAAAGTCAGTTAACATTTTTATAGCAGGTAGCTTTTAATGTACCCGCCGGGAATCCAATCCGGATTCTGAGAAAGATTATCACTTTTTAATTGTACCAGAGACAAGTTCAAAGGAATCTAAGCCTGTTTACCTCTACTAGGTTCCACATGGGTTGCGTAATGCTTCAATATTTCTCAGAGTTTCTTATATAACTTAATATACGTAAATTTAATATAATTCATATTTCAGAGTAAATCTGTTAGAGTTGGTTAACACTTGGCATACAACATTAAACAAAAGACAGGCGTCTACATTTATTTTTTTCGCACGAGATGGTGCTGTGTTCGCGGGAAAACAAGTAGAGGGAGGGAGGACGGGAGGGGATCAAGTGCCACGTGGGATCTGCTTAGATTCCAGATAATCGTGTTAGATCCTCCCCCAGGACAGTGTCGATGTTCAGCTGTTTAAGCAATTCCAGGCGACCGGGGAGAGGGGAAGCAAGAGATTACATGACTTATCAACTATGAATCCATGTTAGTGTTGCGTATGTTTTCGCCCGTAACGAAGATTTAGGTAACTAGGCCAGACTGAGCTTGTTTCCGCGAGTGTCTGAACCTATATTTAATAATAATAATAATAATAATATCTTTATTTACTACAAGTACATGTACAAGGTATGGAAAGCTGCTTGCATTTCGGGCAAATTAGGTCAGTTTTGTCCCAGGATGCGACTCATACCAGTCGACTAACACCCAGGTACCCATTTTATTGATGGGGAACACAGACAACCGGTGTAAAAAAATACGCCCAATGTTTCTACCCCCGCCGGGAATCGAACCCAGATTCTCGCCGTGTGAAGTGACAGCTTTAGCCACCGGGCCACGGGGCCCCTATTGAGAGTTGTTTGCATTTTCATGTGACAGATTCACCGCTAAACAGAAAAGTATATAGATAAACCCATAAACATTTAAGGAGATTAAGAGTTAATGAGTGTGTGTGTGTGTGTGTGTGTGTGTGTGTGTGTGTGTGTGTGTGTGTGTGTGTGTGTGTGTGTGTGTGTGTGTGTGTGTGTGTGTGTGTGTGTCCTTACACCTGTTGTCAGTTTCACTTAGTAGTTAGTCGACTGTTGTGGGTGACAGTGTAAGGAGAAAATGGAGTAGCAGTATAGCTATATAAAAAATCTTTACAAATGCCACTGTGAGATTATAAAAATATTTTTCGTTATCTCTAGGTGGGTAGGGATTACAAAATATAATTGCAATTGTGCGTTTGTTAGGGGTGGAGTCAATAACTAAGTTTAAGTGATAAAAGTGTAGTGTGGTAACACTGTTGTCTCCCCACAGCTGGGTATTCCCTAGAGCGGGCGCCCTCCCGACTCTCTGACTACGGCGATATTTCTTCCTCTTCCTCCTCGCCTCTCGACTCCCCTCTCTCCCAGATCCTCTACAGCTTCGGATGATTGTCGGCCCACGCCCACACATACGCCCACGCCCACATGCATCAGCAGGGCCAGCCAGGGCTTGAAGAGGAGGGCGCCTCGGAGCACCCGTCATCCAGGGTTCCAGAGTCCCACCGCCTCGCCCTTAACACATCTTCCGAGGCCGCTATCCTGGGAATGGGCGTGGGCCTTGGAATGGGAATCTTCAGAGGGGAAGGAGGAGCAGGAGGAGGATATCAGGATGTGTACGAGTGTCCCGTATCATTGGCACGAGAGGACATATTCGAGAAGCAGAGGCAGGACTTCAAAGACCAGGAGGACGGAGCCTCGTGAGACTACAAGTGATAGCGTTTTCAACATAGCTACTCCAGCGACTGCTCCTCAGTGTATATAATTCATAATACCTTATTTCAAGACTGGTGACCTTCACATAAACGATAATCTGCATTAAAACTCATCCCCAGTTTTCATAAAGAAAGTTTTTATCAGAACTGAAGGATGACCTTTTAATCACACAAACTTGAGTTAGAGAAGTGTACACGCAAACAACTGTGAGAAATTTGCAAAGATTGTGAATTAAAGAAAAAAGATAATTGTTTAAAGTAATATGAGTTGTAATAGCAACTGTAAAAAGTAACTTGGCAGTTACTACAGTAGATGGAGCAGGCGGACTAGACTCTTGTAGTGTGTAGTTAATAAAATATTCAGTTACGATTTAGTTGTACATGTGAAGACAACAGCTGTCTACAACCCGAAGTATTTTGACCGCGTAGTTTAAGGCAATGCTTTTAGGTAAGGGAATAAAGTGGATTATTTTATGAATTGGGTATTTATATAGATAATGATTTTGGTCTATACATGGAAAAGTAACCTTGAAATATCTCCCCTCCCCTCTCTTTAAGTTTTGATTTAAGTTCATGCACAGAGAGCTAACTTATCTTTCACACACACAGACTTCTATTTTTATCTCATATACACCAATTACTGTTCGTCACATACACAAACTTCTCTTTCTCTCTCTCACAGATATAACTAATTTCCCTCTGGATTTCTTACCTTCACCAAAATGAACAATCTTCGGCCTGCTACACTTTTCCTCCAACGTACGACAAGAAAAAAAAATGAGACTGGGTAATTTTTGAATTGCAAATTCTTCTTTAGGTAAATCTGCATGCGTAATAAATGGTTTCCCGAGGTGGATTGTGAGGGGGGGGGATATGAGGGTGTGAGAGGCTGCACGAGACGCCGCCACTCACAACACTGCCTCACAGTTTTTAAGATTTCCCAACCCTCCAAAAATTTAATGACAAACAATGTATCAGCAACAGCAAACACAAAAATAGTTTTCATTTCCTTATTGGTTCGACTGTAAATGTTGAACTTTAAAACAATAGTAATAAAAACAACAACAACAAATATAAGACAAATGCGAAATATACATGTAACTGAGAAACTTAAACAATTATAGTACACAAAATAATAAGTAACAATTAGAATTATAAGACTTTAGAATGTTAAAAATAGTACGATACCTCAAACTTAACTGATACAGTATAACAAGAAGAATATTTGTTTTAAGCACGAAGTCTAAACACTCAGTCAGCTGCTGTGAGAATATACAGTGAAGCCCCGGTGTTTGAACTTTACTGGTTCCTTGGTGGTGTTCGAATTGCGAAAAGTTCGATGTCCGAATCAATATTTCCCATTTAAATACATGTAAATGTAATTAATTGGTTCTGGGCCACGAAAAGCTCGCACTATGCTATAAAACACTTATGTAATTAATATCATGTCTGTTAATAAAGTAAATGAACAAAGAAACTAGAACCTTACCTTCACTGTCTTAAGTTGATTGGCACAGGTGGAAGTTGCAGAGGAGGGAGGCTACTGTGTGGAGGGGAAGTTACCTTCCATGAAAACATATGGTAACTCCACCTCTGAAGTGATGTGGTCTCTTTCTGTCTCTTTGCACTAACACTGGAAGATTCTGGCGGCTCAGAACTGGCAGGTGTATTCGTTTTTTTTTTTTTATCTTTTAAAAGGAATCTGTCCAATGTGGTCTGTATCTGCCTACCCCTCATAATCTTCCTAAAGTGTTCAACTACATTATCACTGAAGGAATTGATGTGCCTCACCACAGCAACGTCAGAGTGCCATTTCTCCACTAGGGAGATGATTTTCTGAACCACTGGCTCTGCCTCAAAGTCTCTGCTCGCCACAGTCAGGCCACATCTTCCTCCAAGCAGAGTTAATTGTCCTTTGGAAAACATCTCCCAAGGCTTTAATTATCAACCTTACACACTGGAGGATGTTGAACTGACTCTTCCAAAAGTCTCTGAGAGTTAGGTCAGTGTCAGATGTCACTTTAAAAAATTTTGAAACAGGACTTTCGACGCCAACTGAATTACAAACAAGCCGGCGTGTTCGGATTCCAGAAAAACGTTCAAAGACCAAGTCAACTTTTTCTTAACCATATTGTTCGGACGTCCGGTATCTTCGAACACAGGGGTTCCATTGCATATAAATTTAGATTGTTTTACCATATTTTAATACTTAATAATGAGATATGAGTCGTCTCCTGTAGCATCTTGTATAACAATGTTCACACAATATATCTTCACGTCTCCCACTATATCTTTGTCTTCCCCCTCCCATTTAAGTCTCCCACGTTGTTCACGTCCCCCATCACAGTCTCAAGAAATTACCAAGCGTTCATGTACACATGGAAAGTTACTAAGTATATAAACGTGTGTGTGTGTGTGTGTGTGTGTGTGTGTGTGTGTGTGTGTGTGTGTGTGTGAGATTAATCATTCACAATTACCTTTCTGGATGTGAAGAACGAGCTCTCTCACGTGTAATAGAGGTGGAAGGGGAGAAGTCAGTCCGTCTTCATATAACGCGTCCGTTTTACAACGTTTTTGCATAAAGTTTACATATGGGTTTACTCCTCCTCTGCGTTATTACCAGATAACATCCTCCCTGTTCATTCATTTCTCGGCTGGTTAATTTACATTAACTTAACCCAACCTACCATAGTCTAAATTATGTTAACCCAACAAGGAGAGTGATCTCATTGTAACAGCGGCCAGGTAAACAGTTTGGCTGAAACGTTGGAAATCCAACGTTTCAACCACCTGCCGATCGTTGGCTTTCACACGTTTCTACAAGAGTCACTGGTTAGAGCGTCCAGCAACCACGCTCTGCAATAAGTTGTAAAACTTCCTTATTATTATGAGGACGGATTAAAGAGTGTGGTTACTTTGACCACATGTGTAAATAGTATGTATGTTTGATTTACAATGTTAACTTCTTAAAAAAAAAAATATATATATATATAAATATATATATGTATATACATACATATATACAGTAAGACTGTGAGAACCGAAGGAACAAAAAACAAGATGTCACAATACCGTGACTGGAACAGTACCGTGACTGGAACAATACCGTGACTGGAACAATACACAAATAACCCGGACATAGGAGACAGGAAATTACCACGACGTTTCGGTCCGACTTGTACCATTTACAAGCCACTCTGAATGGTTCGAGTCGGACCGAAACGTCGTCATGAGCTTTTCTCTCTCCTATATACGTGTTATTTGTGAATTATAGGAATGTTCAGAATGAGAGGAAATAAAGTCGTACCAAATGGAGTGCAATCAAGAATGCAATTAAAGAGTGTAATTAAAGAGCACAAATAAAGAGTGCAATTAAAGTGCAATCAATTATTCTATTAGTATTGTATTTTATTACAATTTATTGTCTTTGTAGTCAAGTTATATATTTTAAAACCAATATTTTATACTTGTTTTCAAGCTGGTATTAAACCATTTGTTTTAAATTTTGATGAAACCGTTTTTTAAACGTTTTAATCCTTTGTTTTAATTCTTTGTTTAAAAAGGGTTTAAAACCTTGTTTTAAACCCTTTTTAAATCCTGCATAAAACATATTTTAAATGCTGTTTTAAACCAGTTTTAAACCTTGTTATAAACTTGTTTTAAGCCTTGTTATAAACCCGTTTTAAAAATTGTTATAAAACCTTCCTAAACCTTGTTTTAAATATATGATAAACCTTGTTTGAAACTCCTTTTAAACCTTGTTCTAAACATGTTTCTTTCACTTAGTTTTAAACCCACATTGTGTATCTTGTTCTTAAAAGGAACTAATATATCAGGTTTTTTATTGTTTTATTTTAAAGGACAAAGTACAAGTAGGAGTTATGGAGCAGTGAAGGAGTTAACCTTGGTACCACAAGAGTTAACCTAGGTACCACAAGAGTTAACCTAGGTACCACAAGAGTTAACCTAGGTACCACAAGAGTTAACCTAGGTACCACAAGAGTTAACCTAGGTACCACAAGAGTTAACCTAGGTACCACAAGAGTTAACCTAGGTACCACAAGAGTTAACCTTGGTACCACAAGAGTTAACCTAGGTACCACAAGAGTTAACCTAGGTACCACAAGAGTTAACCTTGGTACCACAAGAGTAACCTAGGTACCACAAGAGTTAACCTAGGTACCACAAGAGTTAACCTTGGTACCACAAGAGTTAACCTAGGTACCACAAGAGTTAACCTAGGTACCACAAGAGTTAACCTTGGTACCACAAGAGTTAACCTTGGTACCACAAGAGTTAACCTAGGTACCACAAGAGTTAACCTCGGTACCACAAGAGTTAACCTTGGTACCACAAGAGTTAACCTTGGTACCACAAGAGTTTTAAACCTTGGTACCACAAGAGTTAACCTTGGTACCACAAGAGTTAACCTAGGTACCACAAGAGTTAACCTAGGTACCACAAGAGTTAACCTCGGTACCACAAGAGTTAACCTCGGTACCACAAGAGTTAACCTTGGTACCACAAGAGTTAACCTAGGTACCACAAGAGTTAACCTAGGTACCACAAGAGTTAACCTCGGTACCACAAGAGTTAACCTTGGTACCACAAGAGTTAACCTTGGTACCACAAGAGTTAACCTTGGTACCACAAGAGTTAACCTAGGTACCACAAGAGTTAACCTTGATACCACAAGAGTTAACCTAGGTACCACAAGAGTTAACCTAGGTACCACAAGAGTTACCCTAGGTACCACAAGAGTTAAACTTGGTACCACAAGAGTTAACCTTGGTACCACAAGAGTTAACCTAGGTACCACAAGAGTTAACCTTGGTACCACAAGAATTAACCTAGGTACCACAGGAGTTACCCTAGGTACCACAAGAGTTAACCTTGGTACCACAAGAGTTAACCTTGGTACCACAAGAGTTAACCTTGGTACCACAAGAGTTAAAACCCTTTGGGACCACAAGAGTTAACCTTGGTAAACCACAAGAGTTAACCTTGGTACCACATGGGGTTAAACCCTTTGGTACCACAAGAGTTAACCTAGGTACCACAAGAGTTAACCTTGGTACCACAAGAGTAAACCTTGGTACCACAAGAGTTAACCTTGGTACCACAAGAGTTAACCTTGGTACCACAAGAGTTAACCTTGGTACCACAAGAGTTAACCTTGGTACAACAAGAGTTAACCTTGGTACCACAGGAGTTACCTAGGTACCACAAGAGTTAACCTAGGTACCACAAGAGTTAACCTTGGTACCACAAGAGTTAACCTTGGTACCACAAGAGTTAACCTTGGTACCACAAGAGTTAACCTTGGTACCACAAGAGTTAACCTTGGTACCACAAGAGTTAACCTTGGTACCACAAGAGTTAACCTTGGTACCACAAGAGTTAACCTTGGTACCACAAGAGTTAACCTTGGTACCACAAGAGTTAACCTTGGTACCACAAGAGTTAACCGTGGTACCAGAAGAGTTAATCTTGGTAACACAAGAGTTAACCTTGGTACCACAAGAGTTAACCTTAGTACCTCAAGACTTAACCTTGGTACCACAAGAGTTAACCTTGGTACCACAAGAGTTAACCTTGGTACCACAAGAGTTAATCTTGGTACCACAAGAGTTAACCTTGGTACCACAAGACTTAACCTTGGTACCACAAGAGTTAACTTTGGTACCACAAGAGTTAACCTTGGTACCACAAGAGTTAACCGTGGTACCAGAAGATTTAATCTTGATAACACAAGAGTTAACCTTGGTACCACAAGACTTAACCTTGGTACCACAAGAGTTAACCTTATTACCACAAAACCTAATCTTGGTACCACAGGAGTTAACCTTGGTACCACAAGATTTAACCTTGGTACCACAAGAGTTAACCTTGGTACCACGAGAGTTAATCTTGGTACCACAAGACTTAACCTTGGTACCACAAGAGTTAGCCTTGGTACCACAAGACTTAACCTTGGTACCACAAGAGTTAACCTTGGTACCACAAGAGTTAACCTTGGTACCACAAGACTTAACCTTGGTACCACAAGAGTTAACCTTGGTACCACAAGAGTTAACCTTGGTACCCCAAGACTTAACCTTGGTATCACAAGAGTTAACCTTGGTACCACAGGACTTAACCTTGGTACCGCAAGAGTTAACCTTGGTACCACAAGAGTTAACCTTCGTACCGCAAGAGTTAACCTTAGTACCACAAGAGTTAACCTTGGCACCACAAGAGTTAACCTTGGTACCACAAGATTTAACCTTGCTACGACAAGAGTTAACCTTGG